GTGCTCGATTGCTCGTACTCCCCAAATTTTTGCAGTTGCTCGCACGCTCGCTTTCTTGTCAGTATTAATCGAAATTTTGTAAATCCTTCTGTAACCGAGCTCAATAATTCGCCCACAAAGCATTTCTTTGGGTTAAGAAATGAAATTCTGTATGGTGCTTAATTCCTATAAATATGGCTATCAAGTTCAGTGGAAAGTGCACGCGATAAATGACAACGATAAATAATAATTTAGCTAATCTAGCTATATATGGTTAAAAAGCGAAGATATTGTTACCTTTAATTCTTCTGAGTTTCTCTACCGCTCTACTCACTCGGCTTTAATTAGGCCGTGTTTTCAGTAAAAACGGTTTGGAAGTTTTAGGATTCTTCCAGAAGAGGTTGTTCTTGTTTGAGTTGAAATGCTCGATGAGCCGATCGAGTCACCAAGGCTTTCACATTTACCTTGCTCACGTAATCTCAATGTACAGCTTCCATTTCACGTTGCATTCGTTTTAAAGCCTCCAGGGTCATTCTTGTTTCCGAAATAGTCTCGGAGAAGTGGGGGGTATTTTTTGAAAAAAGTAAACTGATGCATTTTCATAAATTTGACATTTTTAAGTTAACCTTCTAAATATTTATCCCCTTAGAGTTTTAAGGGCTACGGTAAGCAAGATCGATTTAGCGACGACAGTGGATGTTTGCGTGCTTGAGCCACAACTCGAATAGTACAGGTATAACTTCACAAAATGTACAATGCAAGGGCTATATAAGAATGGTTTAATGAAAGAGAATGCCTTCTACTAAGCTTATTACTTACCAGTTGAGTTTTATGATGGATCGCTCAAGGCAGTGGCAAATTGAACTCAAGCCCACAGCAATTTGCATTTTGAGTCACGCAATTAAAACGAGTCACCGATCGTAAAAGCGCCTGCGCAGATCGAATAGTATGCCTTGAAGTTCAGCGGCGAAAAATGTCTGCGCATGCTCTACTAAAAATGACACGTGATCTATTTCGCGCAATGTCATTGGCTCTGAGGCAAAAAGCCGGTTG